AAATTGATTTTCCAACATGGATGATGCAGCCAAAGTTATTGGATTTGTCTGATATATCAAATATGCAGTATCAAGAAGAACTCGCAGAAATGCAAAATGATGAGTCTGTCAAAACTTTATGTAATATAAAGGGAGTGATGGCATGGCTTTGTGAGAAAACAGAAATCAAATACCCAAAATCAACCAAATGTGCAAGAAAACTATTGCTACCGTTTCCATCTTCATATTTAGCTGAATTTGGATTTAGTGCTGCAAATGATTTACTTCTAAAAAAAGAAATCGTCTGGATATAACACAACGGGGATACTTGAGACTGAAGCTAACCAAATTGGAACCTAACATAAAATCTCTGTGCAGCAAGGATCTCACTAAATTAAAATATTATAGAAAAATCTTTATTAAAACTAGTATTTGAATTTTAGTTTTTCATTATATGTTTTGAAAGTTTACTTACTGTGTTTCGTTAACAATTTCCTAGTGATTTCTTCCTAAAACCTATCATTTAAGTTTCTAAGTGAACAATTCAATTTTTTAATATTAAAAATCGTGTATGTTACATAGGGGGGCATAAGAATTTTAGAATGACTTAGTTGGGGCATGGCACAAAAAAGGTTGGGAAACACTGGTTTACACCTTTCAGAAACTGTTCTCGAAGTGAGCAAACCCTGAATAACTTTTGATTTAACGATCGAATTTTTACGTTCTAGAAGTAAATTTTAATGGTCATACATGCTAATTAATTAGTGCAGACGATATTATAAGTTACAAAAACAGACACTAAAACGAACTTTCTCTGAATAAACATGCCATTTTATCAGTGGATTCAGATCCCCAAAATATAAGAGGTAGCCGCAATCTGCGAAGTTTGGTCAGGAGAGCGTTCCATAGTTTAAATCTCTTTTAGTGTTAATTTTGCGTGTTTCGCTAATCTTGAAAATTTTGTAAGCGAAATGAGAAGTTTTTGCGCACGATTCGCTTATCCTAAGATAATTCCATGCAAAAATTATTTTTAGTTGACATTTATTATTTTATTTAATAGTATACCATATCGAATAATTTATCTTTGCGTCATTTCAGTTGTGGAATTCGGTGAAGGAAGACTGGGGCAAGACAAGGGTGTGGAAACCCAGTTTCGTGTCTTGGGAACTGAAAAGAGGTGAGCTGAAGCAGTGGTTCGATGACACATGCATTGCTCTGCAATCTGCTGATCAACCCAACATTGAGAGAGAAATGGAATAGTCTTTCCAACTCTTAATTGACAGATTCTTCTCCTTAAAACAATGAATGACATACAATGCGTATTTAATCATCCTATAAGTCCACTTTAATAATTTTTGAACGGTTGGTCAGATTCTGAAAAGTGCTTCAAAGAAATCTCTAGAAATAAGTGTAAAAGTTGAGAGTGACGAAATATGCTTATTTTGACCAAACAATGCAAGTTTCCATCCCAAATTTGGATTTATCACTCCCAAAAAATAGGTGATAGACTTGTTTTGAAACGCTGACTTTAATAGCTTAACCATTATAACGGTTGGAAATTCAAAAATTTCAAATATTTATTACTCTAATGTTATTATTATAATGTGTAATGCTTCTCATCATATCTTTTGAATGATTGGTTAAATTACAATAATTCTTTCACAAAAGGTTGAAAGCTTTAACCGAAAGACAAGTAGGCAATATAATGTTGAATTTAGATGAATTAAATAATTTGCATTAATTAATTTGTTAATGATGAAGAAAATTTCAATTGTAAGGTAAAAAAATTTTTACATATTCAGAATTTTCAAAATTGTTGCAACCTAAATCTAGATTTTGATATTTGACCCATAAAATAGTGCTTAAAAAGTAATTAAAAGTAAATTGTAGAATGGTATTAAATTAAACTCCATTTTGAGATTAAATCATCAAATTGCTACAAGTTAATCTATAAATTAAAGATTTAATTGTTTTTTTAATCACTTACACCTGTGAAATTAAGAAACACTCATATTTTTAAGAATTTTGTCGATAGAAAACTGGTAGATAGTCATCTTTTTTTTTTAACTCGATATTTTTTCTTCTCTTTAACTTCTTGTGTTTTATTTTTGTTTACTTCCAACCGTCTTCATTAGTAATTTAACAGCAGATTCATTAAAACGTTCTTTTCTGCAATGGTGCTACTGTTTTTAAATTATACAAGCCTCCAATTTGCGAACTAAGACTGATTAAAATTGTTAAAGGGAGAATCAATTGAAATATTAACTATAAAATTCTAGATAATTCATAATTAGCTCTTTTAATGTTTTGAATTAAATGCTAATAAAATATTGGAAAAAAAACAGTGTGTAGATTTTTAAATGTTTGAAAAGTTTCTTTTTTTTTCTGTTTAGTAACCAACTGTCAACCTATTTATAAGAAAAATGTCTCTCAGTGAAAAAAAAATCCATTCTTTTGGTCTTTGATTATAAATGTGTTTTAAAAAGGATTTTAACCTTCAGTGTATACATATTAATGAAAGATGTAAATAATTTGATAATTATGTATTTATGTTTATAAATAATATCAAAAATAAATTAAATTCTTATGAATTGGCGGAATTTATTTGCACGGAAAAATATCTTCCTTGAGAGTTGGCAAGTCTGTGCTTACTTAGCACATAAAAAAATACTGCTGTATTAAGTACAACATTCAATTGTTTGTTAAATAATTTCAAGGCTAAATGAGAAGTTGCTATTGGTTAAAAATAAGCCCATTGAAAGCATATATTCTTACATTCATTGCATAAGATGAACATCTTGTGTTTAATAAACTAAGGCAAGAAAAAAAATATACATATTTGTTTCTTCAGTTTATTGATAAAAGAAATTTTTATTCTTTATTCAAAACAGCAGCATGCATTTTATTAATTGTTGTCTTTAAAGGGAAAAAAAGTGTTCCATGTCTGTTATTTTATCTCCAGCCCGGAGACAACAACAGATGAGAAGATGTGTTCAGCTGAAGCTCTGTAATTAGGGCATTCCATGTCTTTACAACAATTTGATGAAGTTTCCTTAATTACAAGTCTTTGTCTACTTGCAACTGCATTTGCAAGGAATTTTTAAATGCTTTTTATTTTCAAAGATTTTATGAAATGATCAGAACTGCGACTTCCACACAGAGCAGCAGGGCCGAATTACATAGAGCGAGTAATCAGAGACTCCTCAGTAGTGCCACGAAAGCGCACATATTTAAAATAAACATTTAACGTAAATCATCAAACTCAGAAGCGCAAACAAATTGAATGGCTTCATTTCTTATTATTCTCCAAATGTTTTGGAGCAGAGCTGAAGGAAGAGAAAACAGTTGTTGATAAGCGAAAGAGTGATATGAGAGCAATAACGAATTCCTAATAAACTTTCTTGAAGCAAGCTACTACTGAAATTATAAAAACTTTACATTAGAAACACTAAATTTGAAATCATTAAACATTTTTCCCAACACTAGATTTATTTAAAAATCAATTATTTATTTCCTTATTATTTACAGTAAAAGGTGTGCACAACCTTTATTTCACCATTAAAATAATGAATTTTATATCTTATTAGAATTACAAATTTCATTGGGGGGAAAAAGTTGAAATATCATTCTTGTTAAAGAGTTCTGTATCGTGATCTGTAGCAGAATAATCTTCGCAACTTCCGGACAGCTGCCCACAAGAAGCTAAAAGAAATATCACAGGAGGGGATCAATTGGAAGGGTATAACTCGTAGTTTCATTTTTTTTTCTTCTAACTTTGCAAGTTTAAAATCCATGCAACCCTCTTGGCCGCGGGATATTTCCATATCGCGATCCTTAGCAGTCGGCGCTAAGGATCGCGATATGGAAATATCCTCACTCTGCCTTTGAAAATGAGAAAAAAGTAAGGATAATTGAAATATTAAAATTCATAATCTGTAATTTAGAGCCGTGGTGACTAAGGGAATAGAACACTCACCTCTCAATGAGATAACCCCGGTTCGAATCCCAGTGCTGTTTGATTGATGCGAATTCAGCCCAGCTCACATCGATCACAGAATACTGACGTAAAATATCCCCAAAGATAGAAGGATCATGAATTAAGTCCTGTTGCTCTTAGGTTATCCGCGGAAGGTTTTCGTGGTTTTCCTTTCCTTGCAACGCTAATGCGTGCTAGTTCCATCAAAAGGAAAGTCCACGAATGCAAATTTTTTCACTAGTTGATCCTTGATTGAGTTCAAAATTACAAGACTATGGAGTTGAACATTGGTAAACGTAAACTCCAAAATTGGGTCGGCTGTTCAACGACGGTTATAAAATCCATAATCAAAGAGTCGTGATGTCACAGGGGATAAAGCGCTAGCTCTCCTGTTGTGGGGAACCCACGTGTGAATCACAGAGATGACTGGCGAATACAAAATCTGCATCCAGTTGGCACCGACTACAGTGCTGGCGTATCCTTAGTGGTAGACGGAGCATTGATAAGAGTCCCCTTGCCGTTAGGCTAACCGTGGAAGATTTTCGTGGTTTTCCTCGTCATGTAACACAAATGTGGGTTAGTTCCAAAATTTTTTGAATGAAGGCAAATTTCTCCCTATGTTGAACCCAGAAGTTTCCTTGTCTTCTGGATTGGAATCAAAATTACAAGACTAACGGAGTTGAACATTGGTAGTCATAAACTCAAAATGGGGAAGACTGTTCAACAACTGTTATAAAATTGTAAAAGGAAATCTATGATCTAAGTTAATATTTTTAACTAATTTTTACATGATGCTTAGAGCATGAAATGAATCTATGTAATAATGGCACTTTTTCGTTGCCAAGCACACACGAAATGTCTTCAAAAATATAGACCTCAGCCGACATATTTTTAATATTTTTTTTTTAAATCTAGAAAAAATGGATGCTTACAAAAAAAAAGGCTGAATTTCCTTGTGCTTGCCTAACCGAAAAGTACCGTGAAAGTTGATAACATAAATATTTTATGCGGAAATAACTAAACTTCGCTTTTTGTTAAATAAAAACGATCTTTTTAAGGAAGTTTAGAATATTTAATAGATAGTCATTCCAAAAATGCAATGGTTTTAAACACAAAGGTTTTTCAACCACACTTTGATTTGAAAAGTTATCGAATTTTAATTTGTAGATCGAGATAAAAAAAAATTGTCCTGTTTATATTTAGATTACTTTCCCTGAATTATTTTTGGAAATAAATTTTGCTATTGCATTAGCAATTTTTTAATCTTTTACAAACTATCAGAACGCAGTTTCACACACATATCCTGAATTACCTTCGATTTAATAGTAAAAGCAATATATTTTTGTGCAATATAATTAAAGAAATGTATGAATATAATAAATGAATGTAAGATGATTTAAAGAACTCGTTTTATGTTCAGATTAAAACTTGTACGATTTTTAAGCGAGCAACTGTATTAAGAAATCAACAAAAATTGAAATAGTGTAATAGTAACTACAATTTAAAGCATTTGCAAACTTAATAAAATGGAATTTCATAAATAAAATCTTTACTAGTATATATATATATTAGAAATTATATAAAGTATACTCTCTGTATCTCGAAAACCTTGTTATGTCAGAAAATATTGTTCCCCTTGGCATTATATATATAGCGTCGGGGGCTCTCAATAGTTTTTCAACAATTCAAAATTTTTAAAAAACTATTACTTGAAAAGAAAATACCAAAAACTATTTTTAATTTAAAGAATTAATGATCCAGATAGTTTATCAATAATTTAACAAAATAATTCCATATTTATCACTTTTTGGAGTAAGTGGTATTTTAAAAACCATTTAATGAATTTTTTAAAATTATTTTGATCATTACTTAACGATTTTGATATTGAAATCGATAAATATTAATATAGTTTGTAAATGTGATTATTAGTTTAGTTTAATTTATGCTCAATATAATTTCTTGAATTTCAATTGTTTTCTATTAAATGATCTGTTTATTTTTCGTAACTTTTGAAAGATTTTAGTGTCGTTTAAATTTTTTTTGGTTTTGTTTTATAGCACTAAACAATTTTCAGCTTTTTCGGAACTGTAAATTTTTATTTGGATTTGTTTTAAGTATATTTTTTTAGGTAAATTGTGATAAAATACTTATGCTTATTACACTAATAATTTTCAACCAATAAATCCATTTCGTACGAAATATCCTTTTTACATTACTGATTAATAAAAAATGTAACGTTCCAATTTTCGGCATGTTTTAATAAAATGTGTTCGATGCTATTTTACTTGATTGTCGCATAACTTTTTAAAACCTACTACCAAATTTGAAATACCGATTGCACTTAATGCGAAACTTGTTATCGTGCTTTTTATATACGTCACACTACAGCAGCACAGTTAGCTATTGACGACGGTCTGGGAAACATCCCGGAATATGATCCAGATATACATCACAACCCGATTTTATAGGGAGGACACATTCACACACCGTCCATCCGCAGACCTGAACCAGAGCATGATCAATCTCCGATCCAATACACCCTAATGTATTGATTTGTCATGGGAACTGAATGAATAAAAAATTAGCCCATAATTGCGCATAGTAAATATGTTGTTCTTTTTTATTTCAAGGGAATTTCATATCAAGGAATTACACTGTTAAATAATACATAAAGTACATCATGAGAGATCTGATTTTTTCTTAACTTTCCAGGTAATAGTGAAAAAACGAATTAAATCTGTATAAACTTGTTCGCTTTTTGGGCACTGTGGGTAAAGTGATCATATCACTTATTACAAGCCTTAGATTAAATTTATTCATGCTACTCTTTAGTGAAAAATATATTTTGTGACGGTTCGAATTGCGTTAGACGATTAGAATCACAACTTCTTGTGAAAATGAAATATTATTTCTAACATTTTCTTTAAGAAGTAATCGTCAGTATATATTAGAAAAATATAGAAATCCATACAACAAAATTTTAAGTCAATTAATTGTTTAAAAAAACATTAAGAAACTGAGAAAAATCGAACTTATATATTTTTATTCTTTGAAATTAAATTGTTGAGTGCCCCCCCCCCAAAAAAAAGTATGAAAAACAAACAAATAACGGACCACTCTAAATAAATCCTCACATTCTAGGACTCAATCTTAACTGTTTAAGTTGTAAAATCGAGGAAAAAAAGGAAAAAAAAAAGCATTTTCTCTTAATGAACATAATTTCTGGCCCCGAAAATATGGGGGAAGATGGGAAATATAGTTTGATCAGAACAGAGGTTCGAAGTTATGACATCACCCTTTAATGTTAATTTTACTTTTCGCCATATCTCAAAAACTTCTTAAGTGAATTGAAAACATTTTGCACACA